ATGTTTGTTCCCGAAACTCTCCCCAGTTCCCTTAATTGATGTAACATATTTTTAATTAAATTTGACTGTAAATTAAATCAAATTTAATTTTTTTGGCTTGGCCCCCTCTGTTTTTTATCATACAGTTAGTTCACTCAAAGGCTAAATCTGCTCCTTCTCCTTAAAGAAGTTGGGTGCTACTGGTATAAGGACTTGAGCTGTGCTCTTAGGATTAACCTAGATATGCCAAAAATAGTAAAATAGGAACTCCAAAGAATATTTTCGTACTTTATAGTCAAGCAACAAATCTCCCTATCATTTAGCCCTCTTGGAAATAATATTATATCCATGAGTTATCTATTAAAATATTTATTTAGGATTGGTTTGGAAGATGTCTTAGTTTTATGTCATTGAAAAAAGATGTTCTCTTTTTTATGTTGGTGTTTTAAAAACAGAGTAATAATTGGCATATAAAAATTGTCTGCATAAGCAATTCTCATAAGTCTGATGAATAGATTTATAGACCATTAACTCCAACGTTTTATTGCTGGAATGGATGTATTTATTTATTTATTTATTTATTTATTTATTTATTTATTTTCTATAGCCCTACTTTATCATGAGATTAGACATTTGTAGGCACAAAAATCTCCATGTATTATGACAATTTGTAACCAAATCCATATAAGATACAGTATATGTGGATTTAGGATTGGTAGAATACTCAAGAGACCATCTCTATTTCAGCATAAGGAACACTAGCAGCAATTTGAAGAAGTTCAATAGCATGCATGTACCATCCATAATTCCAGATGTAGCTTAAAGCTGAAATCTGATGCACACTTACCCTCTTGCTAGCAGTTGATTTATCACTCTGATAAATCTGTGAATTGTAAATTCAGTCAGTCTGGTAGAACACAAACTGTTCTGCAAGCTGGGTTTGTTCCATGGCCTTCTGGCTGCTAAACACACTCTGCACGTTCTGATTAACAATGGAAATTCCAGAGAACAGAGCTTTGGTTCCCAGTTTTTGTTTGGTAATTGTCCAAAACTTTAAGGGAAAAGACCAGAAACATAACATTTTGCAAAGAAAAACTCATGTTCAGATTCCAAAACTGGAAATGGATATGATAATGAAGATGGACTTAATAGAACGTTCTGTCAGCCACCATTTTAATTTCTCATCAAAATTTAAAGTACTTTTCACTATTTCTGTTAATTTGCCCAAATTTGCTAAAAAGGGCTTCTCTAGTCTTTGAAAAACAACATGGCCTGCTCCTTTCAAATAGCACCCATTACATTGATTTGAAGCTGAGAGAGTGGGTTGAATGCCTTCAGTTCATTGCAGATGTTGTATTTTTGGAGAAATTGTATAGTCAGAACTGAGAATACCTAATAGACTGATCAAACACTCCAGCCATCTTTTAGCTCTGAGCACCATTTGTATTTTGCTTTCCTTCTTGGCTCAATTTAAAGATTCTGAAAGTGTTTTTAAAATGCTTAGTTCTTTCAAAGACTTTTTTTTAAAAAATGAAAATGGATTCTTGTTCATACGGCAGGAAATCTTCCGCCACTGATCCAATTTTACAGCAATAGTGTTTTTAATCGGTGGTATATGTTTTCTTAAAAACAAATGATTGTTCAAAAATGTAGTGGGTTATACCCAGTATAGTAGCATCATTCTATCAATTAAGAATACCCTTTTTTATCCTTGTTCAAGTCCTATCTAATACTTGACTGCTGCTTGCATCAGCCATTGTCCAAATACTTTCACAATCCATTGTGATTTCATTGAACGTTGAGTTTGTTTGTTTTTCCAATAAGTATTGCACAAGAATTTATACATACAAGTAAAACTCTATCTAGCACTACTTTAATAGTAGAGCAGGGGATGGAGAACCTGTGGCCCTCTGGGTGATTTACAACTTCCCACCACCCTATCAACCATGTCTACTGATGCAGGATCCTGGGGATTAGAGTTTAGCACTTCTGAAGGACCAGAGATTCCACTCCTCTTGGCCAATGTTCCATTGGATACAGCCAAATGATTTTATTTAAAAAAAATGAGTTTTAATTTGTCCTGAACAAAGGAAGAATCTGATAAGGGATTAATTGGCATTTTCTCATCTCTGGTTTATCTCTGCTACCTTTTCAAGGGAAATTTTTATTGTACAATCCTCTCTTCTCTTCAGTATTTTACAAGCCACATTGACTTCAATTCAGTTTCAAGGAAGGACTCCTCCCATTTGGCTACTTTAGATTGAGAAGGGTTGGAGCCTGGGTACGTGTATTTCTTGTGGACATGTCTCAAGGGGATGGAAATATGTCTATCAGAAATTAACAACCTCAGCAGTAATATCCTCACTCATTAACAGTTAAATAAGTTCAGCAAAAACAGCAAGAGAAACTAAACAAGAAATTTGCAAATACCATGAGAACAAGATTTATTAAAAGGGTTTGTTTTTTCCAGGAGCAAAAATCATTTCAGAAATTGGGAGGCAGCTTTTGTATAGCATTATTAGAAATACAGTGCTCAGCTTCTCTTCTCAGAGCTCCCTTGATGTAACAAGCAAGATTATTAGAGAGATGCATCTCTTCATTCTCATCTTAGCACAGATGCAGAGGGAGATGCTAGAGGAAGGATTGTTATATATCCTGATCGAGATGCCCAGTGATCCTTCAGTTTCTTTCTGGGTATTCTTTGCATTCTTAGATAGACAGTAAGATGGCCAGCTTATATTATTGGCTGATCAGATAGCTATCCCAAGCTTATCTCAAAAAGATCTAATCCACACAGAACTGACCCAGAGTTGGAAATACCTTCCAAGAACATTGTGTGTCACTAACGTGGTGAATCTTCCACAGATAACTCTTCCAAGCAGATACAGATATAGTAAAGCAACTGTGCCAGATTTTGCTGGTGTTTGAAAAAGACTCATTAATTATTCACAGTTCTACATTCAGCTGAGATTAGACATATTTATCATTTTGTGAAATGTTTTCAGAATTGTTTCATAGATAATGACATAAGTTCCAGCTCTTAGACACTCCCTCCAGCCTTAACCAACTTCTTTGTGAGAGACTTCTAATGTAAATTTCACACTGAAGAAAGTGGTCATCCCTGGTGCTGAGTAACGGAACGGAATTAATTTCAATAATTGATACCAACTTGGGTATAAAGCATTAAGCTAAAACAAATCAGTAAAACTCAGCTCTTGATTTACTAAAAGGTTTCCATTTGATTAAATTTTATGTTTATAGACTCCCTTTACCAGTGCCATTAAGATGAAGCAATAAATCAAAGAAAAATTATCTACTAGACAATAATATTGTGTTCAGGCAGCTGAATTCTGTAATATATGTAGGGGAAGTTCAGGGTCAGATTATGATCTGAGAGCATGTAATGAAGGAACTTGGCTGAAGATAGTAATTTGGTCTGTGCTAAACCTTAAAGGGGTGCTTCACTTTGATGCTGCTTGAACTGAAGCAGGTCTTTGAACCTTCTTCATGAAGGAATACCCCATCCCACCCCCTTCTAAAAAACAAAGTGCACTGCTTAACTTCTTGTTGCTGCACCTGCATCCTTCAGAACTTTCAGAGGCCAGAACAGGCTTCTAAGGTCACTGGAAGTGCCAAGGAGGCTCCCAACCCAACCCAAAGTGCATTAAGTAGATGAAATTTTAATAATCACTGTGTCTCAGTGAGGCAAATAGCATCTCTTCTGCATTGTGAAGTATACGTGCGAAGTGCTGCCTTGACACACAGGCCTAATATTCATTCATTCATTCATTCATTCATTCATTCATTCATTCATTCATTTATCGCATTTGTCACTGCCCATCTCGT